AAACCGGTGTTCTTCGCGTGATTCAAAATTCCCGTTGATTGGCTAATCTTTGAGTGATGATCTTTTAGAGGTAGCTCACCTACTGCCTTGTGATCACCTGGTTCAAATTTGGTGGTAGTTGGTTTTGATTTGGCCACAAATCGGGTGAATTTGTGTTCTTGGCGATTTTTCGGGCGCTCTGTTCTTGCTGATTCACGATTCGCGGACAGTCCGGGAGTCGGGCTTGTTTCTGTACATTTGGTGCTGTTCGGTGTCCGTACCCGCGGACAGTCCGCCCCTAGAGTGCCAAGAGTCCGGGACTGCTGTTTCAGCCGCGACCAAAACTAGTTCTCTCGGTCTGGTTTTAGATTTTTGACCAGCGGACAGTCCGGGCCTTGACCGCAGACAGTCCGCCGTTCATGTTTCAGTAGCGTCCAGAACTGTTTATCGTCGTCGGTTTTCGGAGTTTTGGCCGGCGGACAGTCCGGCGCAGACCGCGGACAGTCCGGACCCCCTCCCGCGGACAGTCCGTACTAGTCCCGCAGACAGTCCGGCCCTGTGCTGTCTTCTCGGTTTCGGAGTGTTACGTCGAGGGCTTGGCTTGGCAGTTTCTCGAGGGTCTCGCTGTGTCTCTTGGTCATCGCCATAGACATCCAACCACCTAGTTGGCTCGTGGACTACTCCTCTTTCGTGTGGTTGTCTTTGGGTTTTGATTTTGGGACAGCGGCCAAATATTTCGAAAGAAATTTGAGGCTCCCATTCACCTCCCCCTCTGGTCGCCGTTTCGGTCCTTCACAAAGATTTCTGATTTTGGGATAGCAATGTTTAGCTCAAGTGCGACAGAATCACATGATATTGTACCAATGGGAACACTGTAAGAATTGGCAACTCATCTATAAGTAAATTTGCATCTTATCGTGCCTAGCTTATCTGCATTAGGAAGAGAGAACATTTTCGGTGCTATATGGAAAATACATACTGGTTTTTCAGTGGCAACCAGAATTACCAAACTTTCTGTCATGCTTTGATAGTTTTTTGGCCAAAAAAAAGAAAAAAACGGAATATAGCGCACAAAAGAGATGAGTGATGAACAGGTATTTATGAGACAAACTGGACAAAGAATGAAGGGCTGCTGGGAGGTGACAAGTAGGCTCTGGCAGCCAGAGCTCGAGATTTTCGAGTTGCAAGTTGACGCTTGACTTAATTTGCCAGTAAATTTTGTTTGACAATGTGAATGACTTGTTCCTCTTTTCTTTTCCAGTGGTTATATGGCGCCTGAATGCCTTTGTGGAAGCAGCATCTCAGTGAAGTCTGATGTTTTTAGCTTCGGAGTACTGATTTTGGAGATAATAAGTGGAAGGAAAGTGGGGACTAGTTTTCGTCGATACAAAAGATCAGAGAGCCTGATAGCTTTTGTGAGTAATCTCTTGTATATGAGAACAATTCTCTTCAGTAACTGTACCATCTGGATTTTTTTAAGATCATCTGGCCAAGAGGTTTTTACTTCTTTTGAAACAGGCTTGGCGACTGTGGGAAGATGAAAACTGTAAGCAGCTTATTGACAACTCTCTAAGTGTCGAGGAACATGACCAAGAGACAGAAACACTCAGGTGCATTCAGATTGCCCTCTTATGTATTCAGGCCAACCCAGAGGACCGGCCCGACATGAAGGGTTGTCAGGATTCTAAGCAACAAGGGCACCCAGCTGGACAATCCTAAGCAACCTGCTTATTTCAATGAGCCAATCGTGGCAATAACAAGCAATCCTACCAGCACTCAGTACCTCACGGCCATACATGTCCATCCAGCTTAATAAACAGTATCCGAATAACATGTGTGTTGGAAATAGTGCTTTGCCTCGCGTCGAAATAAATAACATGTGTGCATATGTCTTACCGGAACCTTTTTATGTTTGTTATGTCACTCGCAAGACAAATAACCATGCATCACATATATGTGAAAGTTGTATATAGTGATCAGAAAGTTTTTGTCAGGTTATCTTTCCTAACTGGAGGATATATGTACAATTATAGCAAGTCCAATTTCCTTCTCTAAACAAATTTAGGCTGTTACAAGGCCATAGAGTTCTTTATTCAGAACAGGCTTGTATACAGTTACTCTTCGAAGGTTTCATCCTTAGCGGGAAGAAAGATACTAATTTACAGCAAGGTGGATTTGTAATCAGAGCATTCAAAAGCTTATAAGTGCCTAATCTGACCAAGGAAAACCTCATTAGCCATTCGTAAGGTGGATTCTACAACTGTGTCCTGGATGCGATGTTTACGCGGCTCCTACTCGTTTGGTGCGAAAATTAGAGAACATCCTCTGGACACAAGCACATGCACAGATACGTATGTGTTTTTATTTTACCACAACTGCATCTATTTTCATCCTCTGCTTGTTGGCCTTTCACCTTTCTCAGAGCCTAATACAGTGAGCCTATGTTTGCTAGATTTCAGATATTGATACTTCGCTTTAGAAATTGGAATGGGGAAGAACATGGTAATTGTTAGAAAAGTTTTAGGTAGCTGGTGTGTGCTCAGTGTTAGCCGAACTTTTTTCCCTCTCTTGATCAGTTGGCATTTTGCAAATGTGTCTATTAGGAAGCAAGCAGATTGTTCTAAAATAAGTAAAAGGGAGTTCAACAATAACCTATATTGATTCAGATTTTGGGGCACGTGCTCTTATTGCTACAACATACTCAGAAGTCAGAACTGCATAGTTGAATGCAAGGTCGTAGGTCGGGTCCTTTCGAATAGTGAGTTTTGGGATCCAAAATCACCGGACCCCCTCTCTAAACAGCGCAATCATTACTTTAACATTGAATCAACCTGATGAATCTAGAGATGGGAATGGGCCGGGTCGACCCATTGGGTCGCTGACCTGACCCACAAGAACAAGGCCGATGGGCCGCATGAGTCGGTCCTAAAATTAGAAAAGGGCCAATAGAGCCGGAACCACCAACCCAATGAGTCAATGACCACGTAGGGTCGACCCAAAACTCCTCGCATGAATCCCCTCTAAAATAGCATCAAGTCAAGACACTATGCAGTTAACTTATCCAGCACCTAAAAATAAACTAATGCAGCAGCGGCCAGCGGCAGCATTATTGCGTTAATTTACCATCAGAATTCAGAAGGCAAGATTACTGACAGTGGAAACCATACCTAGAAGGCTCCAGAAAAAATAACCTCGTACTAATGACGTGGCGGATTCATCGTAGATGAGGCGCCCTTGGCTGAAAGATACCCTTAATCGATGGAGCTCGTAGAAGCGCCGCCGCCTCGGGACATCGCCGCGGTGACGAGGTTTCCGCCGCCGATGAGTTTCATGGCCCATTAGGCCTAGTTTGCAAGACTGGCCTAATGGGCCGCCGCGGTAACCGAGCCCGGTGAGTTTCATGGCCCCTCTCCTCTGATGAAACTCCCCGTCTTAATGACCCTACCAAGTCAGCAATTTTGCTGATGTGGCATAGTAATTAATGTTCCTCAAACTCTCTATAAAACTCTCATTGAGACTGGCCTTATATGAATTAGGTGGGTACTTTCTATGTCAATATTTCCATCTTATTAGCTATGAAATCCAGGTTTTCAGACCCTCATAAAAATGTCGATTTGTAAGGCCTTATTTAAGGGAGATTTTTTAATGAAAAAGGAAATTAAGGAAAACAAGTAGGGGAAAATATCAAAGAACGCCACAGAGCGAAGTAAATTTGCAGCGTGGGTGTTTGAAGGCATGCAAATTGAATGTAATCTCATGCGAGCCACATGGATCGGGTGTTATTACATTCTGAAATCTCCAGTTATTTGGAGTATGTTGCGTGTGTAGCTCATTCTTTGATTTTCGCTTTCTCCTTACTTGTTAAGGTGGACTCTGAATTTTGATCTCTTCTTCATAACAAGTTTCCTATTCAGGGGTGTGATATCAACTGTCAGTACAGAAAAGTGTAATTTAACCAGTGCCACATAACGAAACAATCCTTAGTTTAGCCGCCATTTTTTAACATTGTGCGACAAATATACCAGCAATTTTATATTCTCAAAAGGTACCTCGTCTTTCAATATGCATGAAGGAAGATTTTGTTACACTGCTCACATCTAATTTTCCCTTCCTTGCACTTTAGCTAGATGCTATAAACACCCCTCAACTGTTACAAGTAGAGCGCGACACCTTGCAGTCACAAGTTGTGGTGGCCGAAGACAGCCCAGTAGGCAGTCAGGCAGTCCAAACTCTGAGCTGGATCCACGCATAGCTGCCCCTCGTTTACCCTACTGAGTACATACTCTGGGTGTAGGTATTCTCGAAGAACTAGCCGGTCAAAGCTAAGACCAATCAAGCTATTACAAGTAGAGGGATGAAACATCAACATCCCGCTTAGGTGGTTACAAAGCTGTGGTCAACAAGACCTCCCCTTGGTTCACGGCAGAGACTGACCTTCAGCCAGTCAAGGTTCGGCGTGTCCAAACCTTGAGCCGGATCCATGCTACTGCCTCTGAATATCTGACTAGACTCCAGACTCCAGACTCCAGAGCTCCAAGTTTTCTGAGTGCCAAAACAAAACAGAAAGCGGATTAGGAAATATCAAAGTAACAATGACCGAATACATAACTAACATAAGATTAATCAAATCAAGTAGCATTAAGCAGCAGTAAATATCTTCTTCACTTGTACTATTTGCTATTTGGGATACTTTCTTTTTTTACTCCAACCCTAGCAATAACAGGAGAAAAAAATATTTGTGCTGGAAGTCAAAGCAGTCAGCTAATATCCCATCTCCCGTCCATTCAAATCTTCGTACACAATGACAATCAAGCCCCAGAAGCAGTCTAGCTCGTACGCTACGTTATTGACTGCACACCGTGGAACAAATTCAACAGGCAAAGCCAATAATGTTTGGAATTTTCCACCGACACTTCCCTATCAACTACTATTTGCTGTTTCCTCTTTAATGAGGTTCCTTGCACCAACCAATTCTTCCACTGAGTCACAACTCGCAATTCATAAGAAAGCTACTAAGAAAAATGGCAGTGGTGGAGGCCGCCTCCCTGGCTCACCGTCTCCTCCCTATCCTCCTCCTCCTACTACTCGTTGCCACCGATGATGCCGCCGTATTCAGCATCATCAACAATTGCAGCTACACCGTGTGGCCAGCCGCCACGCCAGTCGGCGGTGGCTCAGAGCTCAAATCTGGGGGCATGTGGATCCTCAATGTGCCGGCCGGCACCACAAGCAGGCGCATCTGGGGGCGCACAGGCTGCAAGTTCAACAGTAGCGGCTATGGGGCATGTGAAACGGCTGACTGTGCTGGTGCGCTTTCATGCTCGTTGAGCCCCAAACCGCCCGCTGCACTTGCAGAGTTCTCACTCGGTGGCCCAACAGATTTCTTTGATTTAACCATGATCGATGGCTTCAACTTGCCTATGGCCCTCCTGCCGGCCAAGGAAGGGCCAGAATGCAGCATGGTGCTACGCTGTGAGGGAAACAGCAAGTCACAGTGCCCAGACGCGTTCAAGGTGCCTACTGACAATAACAAAACTCATGCCTGCCCAGGGAACACCGACTACGAGGTTGTCTTCTGTCCCCCAAGTGATCTAAAACCCATGCCTGCAACTGTAAGTCCTCAACCTCCACCCACAATCCAGATAACACCTTCACCATCAAGCCCTGTGGTTTCACCTTCTGGGGCAACAAGGACGAGATCATCCTCAGGAAGCCGAGTAGTTGTTATTCTAGCTACTATAAGCAGCTTTATCTTTCTAATATTATGCGTTGCTGTTTTCTTCATGTGCAAACGAAGAGCACGACACCGGGAGATGGAGCAAGTGGAAGATTACAGGGACCTACAAGGAACACCAGTGAGGTTCACATTTCAACAGTTAAAAGTAGCAACTGAGGATTTCAACGACAAACTAGGGGAAGGAGGATTTGGGACTGTTTTCATGGGACGGTTTGGTGAGGACATAATTGCAGTGAAACGTTTGGATCGAACTGGTCAAGGAAAGAGAGAATTTTCGGCAGAAGTGCAGACAATCGGCAGAATTCACCATATTAATCTGGTTAGGCTGATTGGTTTCTGTGCAGAGAAATCACATAGGCTCTTGGTTTATGAGTTCATGCCCAAAGGATCCTTGGATAGGTGGATCTATTGCCGGCATAGGAATAACACTCTTCCTCTGGATTGGAGAACGCGATGCAAGATTATTACTCACATAGCTAAGGCCCTCTGTTATCTTCATGAGGAGTGCATGATGAGAATTGCTCACTTGGATGTCAAACCACAAAATATCCTGCTAGATGACAACTTCAATGCTAAACTCTCTGACTTTGGACTATGCAAGCTCATTGATAGGGATAAGAGCCAAGTGATGACCAGAATGAGAGGTACACCTGGGTATTTAGCTCCAGAATGGTTGACGTCACAAATCACAGAGAAGGCTGATATATATAGTTTTGGCGTCGTGATAATGGAAATCATCAGTGGAAGGAAGAACCTTGACACTTCCCGATCTGAAGAGAGCGTACATCTCATTACCTTATTGGAAGAAAAGGTGAAGAATGGTCAGTTAGCAGATTTGATGGATGAGCACAATAATGATATGCAAGTACACAAGCAAGAAGTAATACAAATGATGAAGCTCGCAATGTGGTGTTTACAAATTGATAGCAAAAGAAGGCCTCAAATGTCCGATGTTGTCAAGGTCTTGGAGGGTACCATGAATGTGGAAACCAACATAGATCATAACTTTGTTGCAACAAGTCAAACAATCTATGGTGTTGCTGGAAATGTGAGCTTCTCAGCTCCACCTCTTGCCTCTGATGTATCAGCCCCAAGGTGAAATGGCTAATCACCAAGAGGATATCTATTGATATCATGCGCACGAAACTCTGTCCAAAAGAAGGCCACGCTCTGTTGTATTTTTCATTTTCTTTGTAGGCTAAAATAAAGCCCACTAAATATTGGGATAATTTTACTTTCGAAGTACTGTAACATGGCAAACATGCTGTGCACCAGATGAGGAATTCAGTTTAGCATATCTTTGAAATGCAGACCTGTCTCAATTTTCGTATAGTCTATTAACAATGTTTTTGATAGCACATCTAACTGGCTACAACGAAGCAAACAATCACACAGGCTGGAAGAAAATTTGCGTACCAAAATAGCGTTTGTATGGGAATTGGGGAAGGAATTATTACCTGGATCTGGGGTAAAAAATGGAGTCTTGAAGCTTGCAGACACAAATGCCTCAGCCCATGTGGTCAGTAATATCCTTCACGAACGTGCCGTAGCCTTCCTTTCCAGCAACCCTGCCGGATCCCCTCAGCACTGGTGGGCTGGTGGCCGCCGGCCGCGTATACCAAGACAGCAAGCTGCCATCGGAAGGCCCTCGCCTGAGTAGAGGGGTAGCCGGATAAGGGTGGGTGGCGTTGCTGCCTGACCTGATATGTGTGAGACGCCGATATGGAGCCTCGTCAAATGGTTCGGCCGTTCGGGGATAGCCGCCGCTGCGGCCACACCGCCGCCGGGTGGCGTTGGTAGTGGTGCGGTGGGGGCACTTGGAGCCCCAAGGAATAATCGAGTCCAATTTGAGTGGGCCTTGAATTGAATAAGGTGGGCTGCGGTGAGTGAATATGTTGGGCTACTTTGTTCGTGGTGCATGGACTGATGGACATGTTGGGTCATGTGCTAAATTTGAAAAAAAAAATTCTAAAAAAAAAGTGCTAAATTTGATGCTGCGATGACAGCCTCTATTATTTTTCTCATCTGCGCATCAAGAGAAGATGTCGCTCAGCCTCACCAAAATCGATTTCTTATCAATTTTGTAAGTGTAATATTGGAAGAACCAACGAATGCTATTACCCCGCAGAAGTTGGTGTGTCCGACCACCGAACTGATCGAGCAGTCACGTGGACCACGTCCCGAGCGGCTCCGCCGAGCTCCGACCACGTCGACCACGTCTCGAGCGGCTCCGCCGAGCTCCGACCACATCGACCACGGACCACGTCGACCACGTCCCGAGCAGCTCCGCCGAGCTCCGACCACCTCAACCACCAGACCACGTCGCAATGATGATTGCCACGAACAACGGTGCTATAACAATCGCGACCACCGTCACAACAGGCCGAAAAGCACGAGGACCAGACAACTTTACCGCCATCGACTAGATTTCTATCCAAAGATAAGTACACTTCTGATATTTATATTTAATATAATTTTCATTACTACGTTTCTCCACAACGTCTTTGTCATGATTATTCTTCAAATAACGTTTGTCCATGTATACCATCTTAAATATAACATACAGCTATACTTAATGCAAATCCTCGACCAGTCATGTTGACGCTCGATGTCTCCAGAAATGGCCCTGTCTCCGGCTCCTCCCTACACGTACGTCTTCTGCATTAACTAATATCCATGACAAATTAGGCTACAATATAATAATTGGGTAAAGGTTAAACTACAAAATAACAAATTAGATGTTTTTATGATCATTTTCTAGATAAAACCGTTGTGTTAGCACGGGCATTATGATGGTAACGCAAGCTGAACATACATGATTCGATGAGAGCTCGGCGAGTTGTTTGGTGTGGGATATGGAGATGTTAGCTCTTAACTTTACAAATGTTTATGTACTTCATACAGTTTTTAATGTCACGTAACCTATTGTATAGCAGCTTTAGAGCTTTGGAGTATGAGTCAAAATAAGGAGGAATAAAATTATGTTCGTTACAATAGAATACGATGATATTGTAATCTTATTATAGACACACATTCTCTTTTTTTATATACTTTTAAAAAATGTGATTTTATAAATAATAAAAAAAATTATTTGATTTACTACTCCCAAGCAAGAAGCATCTCTATTGTCTTTGTTTGCAGATATATTCGGACGATCTGTAGAATTTGGTGTGATCACCGGTGATTGTGTGTGGTATGATGTCCCATCAGATCCTGTGAAGCTTCTGATGCAGGACACAAGAGCACTCATGAATTTTTTTCCCCCTTGGAGACTTGGTTTACAGACTAAATCACTGAATTGGAGATTGCAGCATGATTACTGCAATTATATTGAACTATGGAAAAAAACATTTGTTGTTTTCATGTGTCTCTAAAATAAATCCGTTGCGTTAGCACGGGCATTATACTAGAGAATAAACTTTGTTCCAGCCAGCAAACAACGAGATACAAGAATCTGATGACGAAGGAGGTGGGTTGCTTTTTAATGACACAAATATGACTGCATAAGAGTTAGTTTTTAACATACCACGTGCTGCCCATGTAACAGATCCTCGGGAAGACATGGAACATCAGAGCGATGACGACGAAGCTAGGCAATTCCACAGGGAAGGTATCGCCTCACGTCGACCTATGTGCATGTCACGGAGTTCCAAAAAAGAGGTTTGCCGCATGAGTATATCCTGTTAATTATGAAATCAGCAAGTAGGGGGTGTGCGTTAAGGAGCGGTTCTTCGTGGTCGGGGGCCTGGTCCTGAAGTGGAAGACGAATCAGGCTGGTGTCCACAAACTCGCAACCCCATGGAAATGACCCTTCATGATCAAGGAGGTCACGCGCCCTACGTCTTACAGGTTAGCTCGCCTAGACGGCACAGACGTACCCAATTTCTGGCACATCAACAAGCTTAGGCGTTTCTATGCTTAGCTACTAAGATATGTACCCCTCTTGTACTTTTGATTTATTTCAATAAAGCTATTATGATTTCTCTGACCACTCTAATGTGTCACTTCGAAGTCTATTGTTATTCTAACTCTGCCAGTTAAAACCGACCACCATTCTCGGGTTTTCAGAGTAGGCCGACCTCGGCTGGAAATGTCCGAGGGCTTTTGCCTCCCCATGCGATGGAGCTAGGTACATGCCCTCCGACCACCGAACTGATCGAGCAGCCACGTCGACCATGTCCCGAGCGGCTCCACCGAGCTCCGACCACGTCGACCACGGACCACGTCGACCACGTTCCGAGCGGCTCCGCCGAGCTCCGACCATCTCGACCACCAGACCACGTCGCAATGATGATTGCCACGAAGAACGGCGCTATGACAACCGCGACCACCGTCACAACAGGCCGAAAAGCACGAGGACCAGACAACTTTATCGCCATCGACTAGATTTCTATCCAAAGATAAGTACACTTCTAATATTTATATTTAATATAATTTTCATTACAATGTTTCTCCACAACGTCCTTGTCATGATTATTCTTCAAATAACGTTTGTCCATGTATACCATCTTAAATATAACATACAGTTATACTTAATGCAAATCCTCGACCAGTCATGTTGACGCTCGATGTCTCCAGAAATGGCCCTGTCTCCGGCTCCTCCCTACACGTACGTCTTCTGCATTAACTAATATCCATGACAAATTAGGCTACAATATAATAATTGGGTAAAGGTTAAACTACAAAATAACAAATTGAAGGAAGATGTTAGTTTGGAAGGTCTCCCGCCATAACTCTAGTTTCTGATTCACTCATGTCCAGCTTTCATCAACTAGCACTACATCATCCGCGAAAAGCATACACCAAGGGATGTCCCCTTATATGTCCCTTGTGACCTCATCCATCACTAAAGCAAACAAATAAGGGCTCAAAGCTGACCCTTGATGTAGTTCTATCCTAATCGGGAAGTCATCCGTGTCTCCATCACTTGTTCGAACTCTAGTCACAACATTGTTGTACATGTCCTTAATGAGCTCAACGTACTTTGTTGGGAGTTTATGTTTGTCCAAATCCCACCACATAACATTCCTTGGTATTTGATCATAAGCCTTCTCCAAGTCAATAAAAACCATTTGTAGATCCTTTTTCTTCCCCCTATACCGCTCCATAACTTGTCTTATTAAAAAAATGGCTTCCATGGTTAACCTTCCGGGCATGAAACTAAATTGGTTCATAGAGACCCGTGTTATTGCTCTCAAGCGATGCTCGATAACTCTCTCCCATAGCTTCATAGTATGGCTCATCAACTTAATTCCCCGGTAATTAGTACAACTTTGAATATCCCCTTTATTCTTGTAGATCGGTACCAATATACTTCTCCTCCACTCATCAGGCATCTTATTCGATCGAAAAATATGGTTGAACAGCTTGGTTAGCCATACTATAGCTATATCCCCGAGACATCTCCACACCTCGATTGGGATACCATCCGGTCCCATCGCCTTACCTCCTTTCATCCTTTTTAACGCCTCTCTAACCTCAGATTCTTGGATTCTCCGCACAAAGCGCCTATTGGTGTCATCAAAAGAGTCATCCAACTGAAAGGTTGTGTCCATATTCTCACCATTGAACAATTTGTCAAAATACTCTTGCCATCGATGTCGGATCTCATCCTCCTTCACCAAGAGATGCTCCCTTTCATTCTTAACGCACTTAACTTGGTTGAAGTCCTGTGTCTTTCTCTCACGAACTCTAGCCATCCTATAAATGTCCTTCTCTCCTTCCTTCGTACTCAAATGTTGGTAAAGATCCTCGTATGCTCTACCATTTGCCACACTTACAGCTCACTTTGTAGTCTTCTTTGCCACCTTGTACTTCTCTATGTTGTCCACACTTCTGTCATGGTACAAGCGTCTATAGCATTCTTTCTTCTCCTTAATAGCCCTTTGGACTTTCTCGTTCCACCACCAAGTATCTTTAGCCTCGCCTCCACTTCCTTTGGTTACTCCACACATCTCTGAGGCCACCTTCCGAATGTTGGTTGCCATCTTCTCCCACATGTTGTTTATGTCGTCTTCTTCCTTCCAAGAACCCTCTTTGATAACCATTTCTCTGAATACCTCTGACGTCTCCTCTTTCAGTTTCCACCACTTTATTCTTTCAATCTTAGCTTGTTTATCCCTACGGGCACGCACCTGAAAATAAAAATCTGCCACCAAAAGCTTATGTTGAGAAACAACACACTCCCATGGTATCACCTTGCAATCCAAGCATGCTCGTTTGTCCTTTCTTCTTGTGACGACAAAGTCAATCTGGCTACAGTGTTGTCCGCTACTGAAGGTCACTAGATGAGATTCTCTCTTTCTAAAGAAAGTGTTGGCTATCATCAGATCAAAAGCTACAGCGAAGTCCAGAACTTTCTCCCCCTCCTGATTCCTACTACCATACCCAAAACCTCCATGAACTGCCTCGAAACCTACGCTTGTAGTACCTACATCCCCATTAAGATCTCCTCCTATAAAAAGCTTCTTACTACTAGGTATAGCTCTAACCAGGTCATCTAAGTCTTCCCACAACTGTCTCTTAGCACTCTCGTCGAGGCCTACTTGGGGGCATACGCACTAATTACGTTCAAGACCATATCACCAACGACAAGCTTGACTAAGATAATCCTATCTCCTTGCCTTCTCACTCCCACCACACCATTCTTGAGGCTCTTATCAATCAAAACTCATACTCCATTTCTATTCGTGACTGTCCCTGTGTACCAAAGCTTAAAACATGTATTGTCCACCTTCTTCGCCTTCTGACCCTTCCATTTAGTCTCTTGAACGCATAATATATTTACACGCCTCCTAGTCGCAGTATCAACTAATTCTCTCAACTTACCTGTAAGTGACCCTACATTCCAACTACCTAAACGGATCCTAGTTGGTTCGACTAACTTCCTTACCCTTCACACCCGTCGACTCAGATGCGAAGACCCTTGCTCATTTTTCACTACACCCGGGCGCCGATGTAGCGCGCCACTAAGGAAGCGACGACCCGATCCTTGCTCACTTGACACCATGCCCAGATCACGACACGGCGCGTCACGGGGGTGACGACCCGGCCCTTGCCCATTTAACACCATACCCGAGTTCCGATATGGCGCGTCGCTAAGAGGGTTACGCCCCAACGATTTTCTTTCGGATTTCATCTCCATTAAAGTAGCTAAGTTTTTACATTGGCTCGCCACGCCTAACACAACCCTCCTCCTTTATCAGAGCTTGGGACCTGCTATGCTGGGATACCAAAAGCGCCCCACCATAGACGGAGTTAACAGAAGAATGCCTACAGGATACGTATTTGTAGGCCGTCCGCAACTGTTGTATTCATGGCTCCAATAGGCCTGTACATGGTCCGGTTTCACCGGGACCTCGACCGTGCGGCAGTTAGCTAGCTAGACGGTTTAGAAACCAGCGGGTACGACGGATGATTCGCTGCCAGAGCCGTGAAGGACTTGCTGACTCCATGCTTGCTTGCTTGTCACGGCGGCAGCGAGCGCTTGTCGTGCGGCTATAGGCTCACGAAGGCATAAGCACATGCACCAGGTTGGTGATTGTGTATGAATTAAGCTTTGAACGGGTTGGTGGTTTCAAACCTCACTCAAACCAAACCACATATGGCCTCCGGCAGCGGTTCATCACGGGCTGGTTCCCCACGGGTTTGCCGGGTTGAAGCCGCACCCACCATGTACAGGGCTAGCTCCAACTGTTGTGTTAAGGGTGCGTACTGTATCATATAGTAGCAGCAGTAGTAGTAGTATCATCAAAATTCTTATTAGGGGACTCAGCAACGACCACCACCTTCGGTGTTTCACAAGCGAATGCTTCACCTTATATAGTACCAGACCACAAACATATAGGAATGCTTCACTCATCTTCCTCTGGGACTGCAGTCAGATCAGGGGAAAAAATGGTTTGGATCCCCAACAACGATATGCTCATCATCACAGAAGAATGGCCTAGAAGGCATTTGTAGTCCATCGGTGCCACATTCAAGCATATCTATGACTTCACTAGCTCATCGTCGGACGATCGTGAGGCTTCATCTGAATGCAACCCAACAATGCACAGTTTCCTCTCCAACTCATGCATATCAGCAACAGCAGCAGAAGGTATCTCACTCGCTTCTTGATTAGCTAGCTGATCATATACCCACGACGGGTAGTATGCCTGACTTGAGCTTGATACGTTTGGGTCTGCATTTCTCCGCCCTCCGGCCATCTCTAGAAGCAGCATACCAAAGCTATAAACATCATATTTGCTTGATATGACACCAAAGCTACGAGATATCATTTCAGGAGCAATGTACCCAATGGTTCCCCGTAAGGCGCTCGCTGGCACAAAGCTCATGTCCCTTGGGTACAACTTGGCGACGCCAAAATCAGCAACTTTTGGGACAAAGTTGCTATCGAGAAGGATGTTGTGTGGCTTAATGTCAAAGTGAAGTATCTGCATATCACAACCCTGATGCAAGTATTCAATACCTCTTGCAATGCCTAAAGCAATCTCATTGAGCTTGTCCCAAGAAAAAATCTTCTCTGCTAACAAGATATATCAATCAAGAGAACCATGGGGCATGTACTCGTAGACCCCAGTGCCCTTCTCAGTTCAAGCCCACTAGACGAACTACATTGATATGGTGGATCCTGCCAATGGTGGAGACCTCACTGATGAACTTGTCCCCATTACAGTTGGAGTTGCCCAGCATCTTGACAGCTACCTCGGTATTGCCCAGGAGCCAGGAGTAGAACACCCTTGTACACAGAGCCATATCCTCCCTGACCAAGCTTGTCTCTGAAATGGCTTGTGATTGCGGTAATCTCAGTGTAGGCATACCTCGTTGGACCGAGCATTTGTTGCATCTGGAGGAATTTCTCAACTGCATCAATTGTTAGGATTGAATCTAGCGGTACATCGTCATTATGCGGAGCACCAGACCTGAAGCTAGAATGCTCTGGCCAGGACACCATTCTGGTTCACCCATCTTATGCCCCATACATAGTGACTGCCATAGATTACAGGCGTGGTACCCTGACGCTTCTCATGTCAGCAGCCCTACCTCATAGCACTGTCGACTAAGAGGACCCCTTCCCACTATTATGCAATCTTGGCTATGCGGTGATAGTAAGCTGCTTAACAGAGATCACACCAAGTAATCGTGCTTCCAATTATATCTTCGGCCCAATCAAGTGCCTTAGCAACACATCCTACTTCTCCTATTTGGTAGATGGTTCTGCACACCTGTATGTGCTTCCATTAGATTGCAAGGTCGTGCCTGATAGCTTCTTCCCGATGCCCCGTGACGGCTCAACATTCAAGGAGATAGCAGAAGGAATACTCAATTTCTCTGAGGCAACTTTCACGTATTGTTCTTATGATATTAGTGGATTTAAGATTTTTCATGACTGCACACAGTGTGAAATTGGTGGGCAATACTGTGGATTCAACCCACAGAGGAATCAAACTTTCTGCATGAATCACGGTATTTTCTCTAACTGGTCCATACATTATAAGTCGTTACAGTATTCAATTTCATCTATTGAGAGGCTACTATGCAATTCTTTGAATTTCATAGATACTTGCATTGTCAGCTTACCTCGCAAAGTAGTACTGCAGATCATTTGGGTAGCAAGCCTCAGCAAGCAAATTAAGGCAAACAAAGTCTGATCAAAATCAAGAAGATGAAATTAACTATGCACTTAATCTTGCAGTAGTGAGCCCCAATTTTACAAGTATTTTAGGGCCTCTTCAGTACATATAGAAAGGTGGACACTACTACCAAAACCACAAAATAATGCTTCAAATAATGATGGGAAAACAGAGACGATGTTTAATAAACTAGGCAGGGTGGAGCACGATGCGCGCATGTACGAAAAATGTTAATATAGAACAATAAAAAATTACAAATAATTATATTTAAAGCAGTGCTATATTGTGGGAAAAAATGTTGAAACGAAACCAAAAATCAAATTGCTTGTATCTAATTTCAAATTTGATCAAAATTTGTTATGCTATTTTGTTTTTTTGGAACTGCATAATACATTCTTTGCTTGAAACTTGATTGATTTTAAGATGTTTAGTGTATGTATTTTGTTTGATAGGAAAAATGGATTTATATTCGTTACATTAAATAGGTTCATGGTTTTGATAATTGTTTTGAATATATATTTGAGTTTATGATTGTTTGAGGAATAAAGTAAAAAAAAAAAGAATTTGGAGTGTTATTGTATATAAATTTTAAAAATCATATATTGGGCGTACTCAGTGCAGAAAGCTCACAAAAAAAGGGAGAAGGATTACATTGGAAGGGAAGAAAAAAACTGTGGGGCCTACTTGAGAACAATACCGTGGGTCCCACTTATGAACAGTGTCGCGGGACCCACTGTGAACAGCCTCACAGGTCCCGTTTGAACAGTGTGTGGGGTCCCACGTGGGGCCCGAACAAACGGGAGGCCTCCAAACCTTGGACGATTAGTATAGGTAGCAGAATATAGAACACTATTGTTAAGAATCATTGTGATAATTATGATAATGCAGTTTGAAATACGATGGCTAAGTATGGGATAATGGCAATTTGAATGAGTACATGCAACAGTTAGAGACCAAGGTTTTACATGAAACAATTTACTGCACTGCTGTAAGAATTTTCATAAGAATCACAAGGAAAAAAACATAACTGAGATGAAATAAAAGCAAAGCAACTCCTCCACTGTAAAATATTTAGTTCAGCAACCCCACAAAAAGATTCCAAGAAATTCATGTTGCAATGGTGGCTACTGGATATAAGCTTAAAAGGTTAAGAGGAAATTGTTGGGTCTATCAGCTTTACGTTACTTTATTGGCATTGACATTAATAAGCTTGCATCATCAATTCTAATGCTGGAGCTGCAGTAGTAGTAGAACCTGCAACAAAAAGAGAGTTTAACGCCTAGAAGTTTTTGTGTACTCTGAGGCTGCGGCCACATTATGCAGCTACTTGTACTGCAATATTGGATCTTACCTTTTTATTTCTCAACAGTTCATCTTAACATCAATAGAAACTTATTTTCTTCTTTGGTATTTGCAGGCTCACACCTCAAAGTTCTTGCAGGTACTTCTAGTCAATATTTCTTCGTATCCGAAATAAATAAATAAATAAAGCTAAGTACCACACACAAATTCTTAATTTTCTCTACTTTGACTCTTAACGTTATCTTATCCCCAAACTAAGTAGTGTGTTTCTATCCTGACACAGTATGCTGATTTCCTATCCTTTTCTTGTCAGCTACATCGTCGGTAGACGCACTAGTTGTTCTTTTGTTGATGGTGGCTACGGCACTCTACTTTTCACTCAACACAAGATATAACGAGGAGATACACTTGAAAGTCGAAATGTTTCTAAGGACACATGGCACCTCGAAACCCACAAGGTACACTTTCTCAGAAGTTAAGAAGATAGCAAGGCGATTTAAGGAAAAAGTGGGCCAGGGTGGATTTGGATCTGTATACAAAGGCGAGCTACCAAATGGAGTTCCTGTGGCTATCAAAATGTTAGAGAACTCTACAGGAGAGGGAGAAGAATTCATCAATGAAGTTGCAACTATAGGACTAATTCATCATGCAAAATATAAGCGCCTACTGGGATTTTGCTCGAAGGAAGAAGACACGAGTCATTGGAGAAATATATTTTCTCGTGTTATTCTAATACCACTCAAGAACTCATAGTACCAAACAAAATGGTCAATGTTGCTTTAGGCATTGCACGAGGAATGGAATACCTACATCAAGGATGCAACAAACGCATCCTCCACTTTGACATCAAGCCTCACAATATCTTGCTTGACTACAACTTCAATCCAAAGATCTGACTTTGGCCTTGCAAAATTGTGTGCAAGGGATCAAAGCATAATTACCTTGACGGCAGCAAGAGGCACTATGGGGTATATTGCACCCGAGCTCTATTCTCGCAGTTTTGGGGGCGTATCCCACAAGTCAGATGTTTACAGTTTTGGCATGTTGGTGTTAGAAATGGTAAGCGGAAAGAGGAACTCGGACCCAAGTGTTGACAGCCAAAATGAGGTTTACCTCCCAGAGTGGATATTTGAGAAAGTAATCACTGGACAGGACGTGGTACCAAAGGAAATGACAGGAGAAGAGAGAGAAAAGGTGAGACAGCTGACCATCGTGGGACTATGGTGCATTCAATGGAACCCAAGAAACCGACCCTCAATGACAAAGGTGGTAAACATGTTAACAGGGAGGTTGGAGAATCTTCAGATGCCCCCAAAGCCATTCGGGGATGCCATAAAACATGAAGCTACTATGCTATCACCATTTAATGAATAATCGAGAGATGAGCTTAGTTATTCCAGTGTTGCATAGTAATGATAGCACTAGCACGAAATGTATTTCGATCTTTCCTACTGTATTAACACCTGGCTTATGAATAGGAGTCATTTGTCACCACGTAATACTAGTTATTTGCAACATATGGGACATGACTTGAGTTTCGAAAGTTCGAATACAAAAGGCTCTTTCCTTTTCCTGAATATGTTTTTTTTCTCGAATACGTAAAAGATTTGCGTATCATTGTATTAAGTAGAAGAGTTTAAACGTACAGACAACGCGCTTCTATCGAGCACCGAAGGAGGTCGACCTAAAACAGCCGTAGCTGGACTATCCTAGCAAAAGACCTCTAGATTCGATATTACATAAATGGAAACAACCAAGACCGACGCAACGGTGCGACCTAGGAGGTGGCCTTGCGCCTTCGCGGCTGCCTGGACAAGCCTTTACCATAGTCCGGGAAGAGCGCGTCCAGTGCTTCGACATTGGACGCAGTCAGGTTCCCGTTGAAGATCTTGTCAAAGGCCTCCAGCTCCGATGCGGATGGCACCGAAGGACCCTTGGTGTAGCCCATGCGCTGCATGATCAGCACCTCACCTCGCTTGGAAGCAGGTACTCGAGAGAGGCTCTGAGCCGCCAACCGCCTGCTCCGCCATGGTAGCACCGGCTTAGCAGGAGACTGCTTGGGGGGCTCACGAATAAGCGGAGAGTCGACCTTCTTCAGTACGCGCCTGGTGAAGCTCTTGAGGCGGTGTGCGGTAGAGCTGTCGCTGACGTCGACCGCGTGGTCCTCCCAAGGCGGCGTACTGAACTTGTCAGCATCTGCCGGCTCGGCCGGACCAAAGCTTGACGAGCCTCCGCCCGCCCACCGTGAGGCACATCAGCTCCTGAGGTGGTGGTCGGCGCCACCCGAGGTGGCGTGGCCTGAGCCTGACTGTGCTCAGGCGGCAGAGGAGCGTAGTCTGCTGCCATCTCACCATGGGTACCGAGGCGGTCGCTGGCTATCTTTCGATAGACCGCGAGCGAGGCTACAATCTCCTCCATCATCAGGTCCTCTGAGACCTCGCGTACGGTGTGCGAGGCGACCGAGTAGTGTGTGAGCAATGGATCGGGCTCGGAAAGGTCCCGTACCTCGCTGGTGGGGTCACCATGACCTTCCCGGGCAGCACTGTAGGCGGCGGAGGCAGTGGTGTCCAGCGCCGCAGCGTTGCCGTCATCCCTTGGCCGCACCCGACGTCTGCGACGTCGGCATCGGCGTCGATGTCCTTCGTCGCAGCGCCCGACACTGCTTCACCCGAGCCCGACGTACCTCCGCCTGCGCCCAAGCCCAGCGTACCGGCGTGAGTGCATGATAGTTCGCGTCGATCCTGGGAAGGACATCGATGGGGTGCGCCCGAGTCGCCAGCTACGCCGGTCCTTGCCGAACACGACCTCCGCGGCCGCTTGCAGTCACACGCTAGGTGGCGGAAGCCCCTGCAGCGCAAGCAGCGCTGGGGCAGCCTGCAGGTCGCCACCTTGTGTGTGGAGAGGCAGTTGAGGCATTTCCCTTGCAGCTCTTGGGGGAAACGAGGCACTCGACGTGGCGGTGGAGCCTCATCTCTGCCTCTAGACGGCCCTCATGAGAGGACCTTGCGCCAGCCGTCGGCGTCTGGGGCGGAGAAGCGTTGCCGGACGGAGGAAGCAGGCTGTCCTAACCTCCGATGGACCGGCCACGCTGCGCACGATCGCGAAAGCACCGACCGTCCCGTTGCCGCGATCCGACCTCGGACAGAAGCGTGAATGAAAGCAGCTGCGGGCGTGGCCGCCGATGGTTGGGGCGCTTTCCACGCCTCCCTGCTCATGACCCAACGGCGGCACCGTTGCGCGTGCCTCTGGCGATGGTGGAGCGCGCTTGGGCATACTCCGACAGCTGCGGCCCCCGCCGAACGGCGTCGAGGTATGAGGTTGGGGAGATAGTCGACGATGACTCCACATCGGAGGCGTCAAGATCCTCCTCCGCCCACCGACGATCCTTGGAACGGCCCATCAAGTTCCCCCCTGGGTGGAAGGGGGAGGCTTGGGGGGAGAGTGACGACGACGAGCTGGGGGCGGAAGGAAGGATGAGGAAGATGTCAATCCCCGACGCCGGAGGAGTCCGCTAGGCGAGCTGGGTGTTGAGCCCTCCGTGAGCTGAGGTGGCGGCTCGGGTCCGGTCACGGTTCCCCCAGCCTGGGGACAGCCCACACCAGGTCCGGTCGATTCCGTCGTGGTGGCGCGGGTGCTCCATGGGAGCTTGTGGGCGGCGGCGTCGTAGCTGCGCCATCACCGGCGGCCATGGATCCCGCCAGGTCCGTCGTGGGCGCGCATCGGGGGCGGGGGGCGTCGGCAGCGGAGGCCGCCTCTCCAGATCCCTCGCAGGGGAGAGGTGGGGAGGGGGCGCCGGGCGCAGCGGGAGGAGGTGAGGCGGCTGGCTCCGCGGCGGCGGGCCCCGCAACGTCCGCCGGCGGCGGGGGAAGGGGCCACCAGGCGCTGCCCATTGCACGCCTCAGCCTCGCAATCCGCGATAGGAAGAGGAGGGTAGGGAGCGAAGGATGTAGGGTAGGGCGAGGAGGGAAGGGAGGGGGAGGTGGGTGCGGGCGCCGGCACTGCCGGTGGCGGCGGCGTGGAGTGGGCCGCCAGTGGCGGCTAGGTTTATGGGGTTGGTGGCCAGGGAGTGGTTTAGCCTTGCGGCTGTTGTTGCGGCAATTTATGTCCGCCATTCTTTTTCCCTTTCTGCAAGGCAGTTTTTGCAGTGCAGTCTTCTTCGCTGCACTCCTCATACGAAAGGAACATCCACAGGAGCATCCTATCCATGTCAATTTTTACTCCCAATCAGTGACCCAGTGTATCAGTGAGTCAGTACTATGTGGAAAACTCCACAGGAGCATCCTATATCGGGCGGCCAGTCATGTCAATTTTTACTCCAAATCGTCCCAAGTATTATATGTTTACTATGTAAATGGAGATGGGCAGACGCTGATTCACGCAGAATTTCTTCTGTGTGCAGCCAGACTGAGTATAGGCTCATCTACACCCCACTTAAAAATTTGACACAGAAAAATGCACATTCTGCATTTCTACAATTTATGGAAAAAATGCATACATGCAGATCATGGATAATTATATTGACAAACAAAATTTCAAGGAAACATTTGACCACAGGCCTTCTGTGAAGAAAAGAAAAATAGTCTTTATCATTATTATGAGGACAAATAATAAGTAATTTGTCTTTCCTATGGTCAAGTTTTGTCATCCTAAGTATTCATGACCTATAAGAATATATTGTTTCTTCTAATTCCGAAAACGCACAAGTGCACTGTTGAGATGCGGAGTAGCTAAGCCCAACGTCAACCAAACATTACCCCATTTCTTCAAGATTTTGCAGAGCGAAAAATGAAGGAAAGCAAATAAAAGGAACGATTACCCTTTTGACAATGTCCTCGAATTACCAAAAATGGAACACACCTTTTTCTTTAATCCATTTGCTATATTGTAGTGAACTGAAGGGTTCTTCTTTTTTTCATGATACCTCAAGGGTTCTTGTTGGCACGGGGAAATGTCCAGCTAGTGAAGTGAATCTGCAGACGTAATACAGCACAAAAAAAAAAACAGTGTATTAGTTTGAACAGATCCGTCGCTAAGCAAATTGAAACACTCACCAATTCATCCCCTCTGTCCGCAACACAGCTGAATGAGTACTCCATGTCTTCATTCCACTATAGACTGACCGGTACATATTGAAATGAATTCCATACTGATTGAAATGTTTTATTGGACCTTAAATGTACAAATCTCTAAAGCGGAAAATGTCATTCGCAAAACCACCCTTGTATTCCAACCACCGAAGATTGAAGCCTTGGAGCTATGGAGCTAAACTGCTGATCCCAATTTCAGCAGAACGTGGGCACTGTTAATGAGCCCCATGTAGCCTGAAGCTGGAACTCAGACGGAACAAAAGTAAAACGTGGGTATATAACTAAAGCCGTCACTGTGTGTGCCTACCTGCATCTGAAAAAATGTGGGACTGAGCGCTAATCGAGAGAACAAACGGCCTAGGTATGGAACTGTAAAATTCAGAGACGGATCATGTACCCCTAAATTCCCTGATGCATGTTTGGGTTAAGCAAGGGTCTGTAATTAGATCAGATCCAAATGCAAATGGATTAAGGTAGGGTTTGGGTGGTCGGTTTCGCACATCAGGCAGGGAAGAGAAGGGGTCAGCGTACCTGGGGGGTGCTCGTCGCCAGCGAAGGGCCTGATGGTGAGCTGCAGCCAGATCCGGCCGCCGAGCTGAGTCGCCACCGCGGACGGAGGGGAGGAGCCGAAGGCGAGCCGGCAGGGCCAACCCCCGAGCAGCGCACACGGCGCAGCGAGACAGGAGAGGGAGGAGCAAGGGCCGTGCTGGGTGCGGCCGCGCCGGGGCCGGTTCCGGTTCCGGGCAGCGCCACCCGCGCCGGTGCGCCGGCCGACCGGTGGCCACGGCCGCCGGTGCGGCGCCGAAGCCGAAGGCGGAGGCGGCGACAGGTGCGAGCGGGGGTCCCGAGGGGGGCGGCTGGTGGAGGCGAATGGGGTACTTGTTTTTTAACAGCCAGGGGGAAAGAATGGGGAAAAAAACGGGGAAAAACGAGGGAAAGGAGGGGGCTGTAGAAGGCACGGGAAGCCGTCAGAAGCTACGGGAAGCAGTGGCTGTAGGTGCTAGTCAATGAACAGTTAATTGACCGGGAAAACTAAAGGGCCAAAACGCTAAATTTTTCAAGATTTTCCGTCACATCGAATCTTTGGACGCATGTATGAAGCATTAAATATAAATAAAAAATAAAACTAATTATACAGTTTAGACGAAATCCACGAGACGAATCTTTTAAGCCTAATTAGACTATAATTAGACACTAATTATCAAATAACAACGAAAACGCTACGGTAGCGTTTTGCCAAAAAATTTAGCAACTAAACTGGGCCTAAAGATCTCATATGATGTATCGTGGTTCGTGGATCAGAGGTAGTTGCCCACGTTTACCTGGTAAGGACCGTCCCCATCAGTTTTTTTTTTCGGTCGAAGCATGCATATTTAGCAGGCCCGTCATCAAGATGGAGGAAGAATAAATGTGGGTTTGGGGAGAAAAAATAAGATAAAAGGATAGTACATTGATATTTGGTTGGTTCCGGTAACCTCTATCGACCATGACTCTTTATATTTTTATTATAGGATGCGGAGATAGAATCAGATCCTAAGCAAACACAATATAAAACACAACATACAGGATAAGCTGCTGAAAGAAAAAAAAAACACTAATGAATTGGAGCTGGTTTTTAGTGTTTGAAATTATGTACCTTTCTTAAGTCCCCAAAAAAATCCAAGAAAAAAATAGAAGGGAGCATGCAATTTCCAAGCCCATTTTGAAGCTTTCATTGTTTTCCTTTTAAAAAAAATAGAAACACTTCCAACAAGATAAAAAATGAAAGAAAATGCAAGTGGACACAGTTCATAGGGTTTTAAAAGAGAGATTTTCCAGAAGTAATCTTATCCTTAAGCAAGAAAGCAGAGTAAATTTCAATGGCAAGATTAACTAAGCAAAGGCTTATATCATTTAGAAATGAGTCAAAGTATATGCTCGCCACTTATTAAATGCATTTCAAATCGACAAGAACAACGAACGATGAGTGAGACTAAAAAGTCTCGACTAACAATAACACTAATTAAATTTGGTGAGTCTAATGTACTCTGAGTGTTTGGTACCAGAATTTGAGTGAGATTAAGAGTACTGAGAGGTAGAAAAAGAACAGAGATGGGTTCAGCTAGACGAGGAACACTGACAAATTCAATTAGAATTCGGTCTGATTAGTTCATAATTTCTTGTCCTCTCCCTCATACGCTCATCTATATATCCCTTGCTACACAACATAAACACGCCACTTTACATGGGCCATTCCCATTCTGGTCCCGAGATGCGCACGCTGGTCGTCCTGCGCCGAGTTCCCCGACGAGGCCCTACTCCAGTTGAATGAGGCACCGGATGTTCAGCAGGAGCAGCAGCAGCGTCAGGAACAGCATCAGTTGTACCTTTGAGATTTGGTAGGCCGCGCACAAGCTCGTCAGCAGATCGACAGGCATCATCATCTTTATGTATGATTTCAAGCTCGATGTTCTCATCATGTAGGAAGTCCAGGCCATAGCAGCAACCAGAAGATGAGGTCTTGTCCAGTTTGTGCGTTCCTTCCTTGTCCTCAGAATCACCAGGGAACTGTGGGCAACGAACACAAAAGATGCGAGACCGATGATGAACTATGTTGCATTGGTTACATAAGGAGCTAGAAACCAAGCTACAGTGTAGTACCTTGCAGTGCCGCAACGTGACCTTCTCTAGATTAGGTGAACCCCGCTGAAAGAATCGCAATATCCGGAAGTCGTCACTGAGGTCACAGTCGCCCAGCAGCAAGTTCCTCAGGTTCTGGAATTCCAGGAATGTGGGTTCCTTACCGAGCACCTGGAGTACATTGGAAGTAGATAGCAGCACCAACACATTATCAGAGTGACGAATAAAATGGAACACTTGCAGAGAAAACAAAGATGCCAAAGAGCATACCGTTGTCCCGACACCTAACAAATCGAAACTTGTCACATTAGACACACCACAAAGAAGCTTGGATTGATCTCCACCAAGTTTACTTCCACACATACTTTTGGACAAAAAACTGTATTTGTGACGGCGTAGATGAATCGAAGCCCTGTCAAGGGATGGCATCTCATTTATCGAAATACCTCCACGGAAGCAGACACCATCCACATCTAGGCGTAGATAGGCAACCATGGGGGCTGAGATAGCCAGCAGGTCGCCATACCAATTGGAGCCGCCATCGATAATCAAGGTCTTCAATGTTGGGGATGCAATGTCGGAGAGGAATCCGCCCCATGAGCAACTTTTCAAAACTAAGTTCTGGAGCGAGTCAGAGGCGATCGAACGGATCTCACAGGTGCAATGGTCCAGCTCCAAATCCTCCAAAGAGCAGCACGCTGAGCTAAGATGCTCTGCGAAACGATCGTCCAGAGGCACGTGGCAGAGATGCAGCCTTCTGAGGCGCCAAGAACTGGGGCTCAGATTCAATCCCTGACGCTGACAACTGATGGCATGACCTGGTCCTGGTGTGCAGTATTTCATCGCACGTCGGAGCCATGCTGCTGCTTGTCGGCCGCTGTATTCCCAGCCTTGTATTGCACTGTCAGAGCAAACATAGGTCTGAGGTCTGCAGCCCCTATCAATGTCCAGCCTGAATGAATCCAGCAGTGCGATGTTGCAACGGAGCATGAGGTTGACGGTGAAATCCTCAAATTCGTCCCACACTTTGCCCTTGTCCTGGCTGCTGCCCAAGTCGGAGTCGGAGTCATCAGAGTCAGAGCTGCTGTTGCTGCCGCCACTGCTGGAGGCAGGCGCCGCCGCCTTGGTCCTGAACTCAACAATGTCGATGTCGAGGCACGGCACAGAGCGCCAGAGGTGCCTCCAGCGTGTTGACAGCACGCACGTCTGCACCACCTGTCGAGCCTTGAGGGAGGACATGATGACGTGGAGGAGGCAGTCTGGTAGAGTGCTCAGCCGGTCCGGGCCACCGGTGGAGCTTTCGCCACCACCATCGCTTGCACGGGTCCGTTTCCTTGTGCCCTCTGCAATCTCCATGGAGTACGTGTCCTGCAAAGCTCCATGTATATGTATTTTTATATAAGATGACCAAACGATCAAACAACCCAAATATAAATCTCCAGTTCCATGTATTACCAAAGGACACCTCTGAATCAGGCTCTAACTCACGCAGAAATTGTCCGAACAATAAGAAATTGCCAAAAAAAAACTCAAAATAAGTTTTTTTAAGAAAAAAGTTTGGTTGGGGTACAGTGCAGCAGAATCCCCATTTGCAATTTACTCAAGAACGGACGAAATTCGATCCGATTAAGGGACGGGGTGTGCAGCTAAATCGGGAGATACGGCCATGCCCCCATGCACTTCCGTACAGTATTAGAGATGAACAATCGTATACGAAGATTGCTATTCCTTCACAGCAATCGATTACGGGTGGGTCGTACGGAAAGCGACGGTGAAGGGGCTTACCGAGCGCCAGCGCCATAGCCTCCAGCCTGCCGCGGGAGGATAGGCCCCAATACAACCGGAAGCGCCGGAGAGAGCGGGAGACGAGAACTGCCGAAACCCTCGTCTCCGTCGGCGTCGACGGCGAGTCAGCGACGGCAAGTGGGGAAAAGAGGAGGAATGGGGTCGGCGAACTGGGCACACAGCGTGGTACGGTACATGTGCAACGCGAGCACGAGAATCGTCTGGGATACATGGGCCCCCGCTGGGAGCTGGAGGCCCATTTCCGCACAGGCAGGGTTTCTCGGAGGCCCCTGAATTGGACAGGGCCGTGACGATCTTTTATTATTTTAATAACCTAAAAAAACTAATACTTTAATAATAATAACACAAGACGAATTATTTTTTGGGCACTGCTAGAGCTTGCGCGTGCAGGATTTGGAAGTTCGGCGTGCACACCTCTCGCACGGCAGTTTTTAGTGGCAAAAAAACACACACCCACAGCAGCTTTTCTTCCCCGACTCCGGTGCCCTCGCCCCTGCCGCCACCACCCCGCCGCGGCGAACTCGGCGAAACCCTAGCTCGCCCGTGGCGCCACCTTCATCCCCTCCCTCTCCCCCCGTTGCCGCCGCCACCATGGCCGGAGCTACCCCGCCCTGACCTAGCACGGTCGGCGCTGCCACCACCAGCTCCCCCTAAACCACCTGTCGGCCATCCCCACCGCCTGGCCAGCCTTCCTCCCCTGGTCGGCGCCTTCTATACCCGCCGGAGTTGGGGAAGATAAGGGGAGAGCTCGCCGGAACCCTAGAAAACAGATCCGGGAGGAAGAGGAGAGAGGTGAGAGAGGAGGAGGCCTACCTGGCGCAGATCCGCCGCCACCGTTGCCGGATCTGTCGAATCTGTTGCCGCATCTACCAGATCCGCCGTTGCATCCGTCGGATACGCCGCCTCATCCGCCATGCCCGTGCACGGGGAGGCGGTGGGGCGCGGGCGCGGGGAGGTGCTCGCTAGTGAGGCGCTCGCCAGTGAGGTGCTCACCGGAGAGAGAGAGAGAGAGAGAGAGAGAGAGAGAGAGAGAGAGAGAGAGAGAGAGAGAGAGAGAGAGAGAGGGAGGGGAGGGGGAGATGGAGAGGTGTGCGGGCGTCGGGCGGGTAGGGTGTGCGGGCGCCGGGCAGGGCGTGGGGGCTGAAGCCTCATATCTTGCGCGTTTGCTTTTTAGCATTTCTGATATTTTCTTGGATTATTATTTTTGTCACAGAAAAGACATTACATCTGCCTTAAAAAAAGACATTACATGACAAATGAATACAGAGAGCCTGCTCAGTCGAGCTGCGCACCCGGGATCTATTGGCCTCAAATCAATTCATGTTTGGAATGCCCTGTTGATGGAGTTCTCGTTACCAGTTTTTCTTTTCCCATTTTTATATTTTTCGATGTTTGAAAAATATATAAGCGTCTAGAAAAAAAACAAGCATATACTGTACTACTGAAGCCGTTTCAGTTGGCATTTATAAAAATGTCGTTTCCATGTGACTCTATATAAATACTGCCAATTCCATACATGGTACGGCAGGGCTCGACTCTTTCTGGAATAACCCCGACTTTAGGGTGTGTTCAATTGGATGAATATCTTTGGATGGGAGAACCATTCATGGATAGATGGCATTTGGTTTGGTGGACTGGTTGGACGTGGAAATCCATTTTAGGAATATTCCTTACAGTGGAAAAAAAAAACTGGTGAACGAGTTTATCCATGTTTCTAATCTTTTTCATTAGCAAAAAAATTAAAGATTATTAGTATGTTATATTATTAATTATTAATTATGATGATCAGATTAGTTTTGATAAGTGCTAATATGTTGATTAGCACACATCACTACTACAAAAATGATTTTCGCGAGACACTGTCCAAACATTAACGCAGACGGTCGCAAATAATCGCCTTCTAATTGATTTACGGAGGCGGGCCTCTTAAGAGACTTGCCTCAAAAATATGTCACGAGGCCCAAAGAAGCCCAAAAGGCACGTTACCGGTGTTCCATATATAGTTGAGTTAGGGTTTGGGGGCTTCTCATCCTCTTTCTCGTCCCTCACAGCTCACCCGACACCCTCTCTCTCTCATAGCTCACCCGGCGGCGGCGCCTCTCTTCTTCTCTCCCTCTGCTCTCTCGGCGTGGCGTTGATGGCGGTAGGGGCTGCTTGCGCCCCATGGCTCGATGGTGGAGGCCACTTGTGCCCTGCGGCTCGACGGTGGTGGACGCACCCTGGCCGTGGTGGGCCCACATGCCCCACCGGCGGTGGGGCATCGATCCACGCTCCCTGCCGTCAGGGCTTCGATCCGCGGTGGATGGGCATTGGATCCAGCAGCGGGTGCTCAGATCCGGTGGCAGGTGCCCAGATCTAGCAATGACTTTTCTTTTTTCTTGTTTTTTTCTGATTGATTAACGCAGACGGGCATTGTGTCCGCCTCCGTAAGTCTGCGTTAACGTAGACCTTTCGATGGAGGCGGACGCATTACCCGCCTCCAAAAACCGGTTTTTGCCTTCCTCGGAAAAGATTCCTACAGTAGTGCATTTTGTGAGCCAAATTGGGTAATAGTAGTACTAATTTTATTTTTAATTAGTGGTTATCATGACAAATTAGTGTTAGTGCATATTTATTAGTGTATAATTCATTTTTATTATTTTTAAAGAATGGATATAATTACTCAACTAAACAGGCAGTATAGATATCCATATCCCAAAATCCATGATGGCCATATCCCATCCACCCTTGTCCTCAAACCAAACACACCCTTAGCTTCTCTGGAAATACGGTTTCTTTGGTGGAGTTCAAATCTTAGGGAAACATTTTTCAAAATAATTTCTTCTATTTTTTTTAGAAATAAGATTAAAGAGGTCAAGTATCCATTGTGCTCTTGTGTATTTGAATCGGTAATACACATGTGAGCTTACTAAAATGCATGTTGCTATAGCCGCACCTAGTTACGCTACACGGAAGTATATTACACAAGATTTCTCAATGACATAAAATTAAGAAAAAATCAGCCGCACTTATAAAAAGAGTCATATAAATAAATGTTCTAATATATAATCCTCACCACAAAATCATGGGCACTACCTCTGATCCAACTACAACTCTCATATAGGTTGGATGTTTATGCACAGACACGTAGTATGAATTAGAGATGGGTGCCCACGATATAGCAAGATTATATGGTGAGAAACGTCCCCATCATTTTTTCCCCCGATCGGAGCATGCACATTCTAGCATGCCCTACGACACGCTCATCCGTCATGGATATGAAGGAAGAACAATAAATCAGGGTTTGGAGAGAGAAATGAGATAGTTGATTGATATTTGGTTGGATCTGCTACCCTCTATTGGCCATGACTCTTTATATTTATATATAGGATGGAGAGATCTTGCCTAATATACAATCAGATCCTAAGCAAACACAATATACTGGATACGTTGATGAAAGAAAAAAACATTAATGAACTGGCGCTAGTGCTTAGTCTTTGAAATTATGTATCCCCTACAATTAAAAAGAACAAAAGTAAGATAATTTTTTTGTGCGACTTTTTTTTGGGGTCGCTCCTCTCTTCCGGCTGTGCGATACCCGGCACGATAGAAAAAGAAACTGTCATCCCTACGATCCCCACCTGCTTTGAAGGAAACAAATCGATCATCTGAGGCCACATGCATGGAAGGAAACAATAATCATGCATGGAAGGAAACAATCATGCGGTGCCCCTCTAATTGGTGTAGTCCGTAGATTGTCTTTCCAATGGACATGGGAAGAGATCTTCATTATATGCACCAATCCAAGAGCACAGTGGGAGAAAGCTGAAGCAACTGCAGTTAAGCCAAAGATATGTCTTTATCGGGCACTCGACAAAGACTTTGCCGAGAGCTGAAACCGACACTCGGCGAAAAAAAGTAACATGACGGAGTAGAAACGGTCACGACGCATTTGCAGAGTATCAAATCTCAGGCACTCGGCAAACCTTCTGTATTATGATCCTTGGATACCAAGGTAATGAATTTTGATTGTGGATCGAATGCTGTTAACTAGATTTTGTATATGCTTGGTAAAAGAATTGTTGGGACAGTACAAAAGGCACAATCCAAATTACTCCATGGATTAACTAAACTTTAAATGTCACTTTAACGTCGGTCATATACTTTTACAGTATTGTTATCTTATCGTGTGATCCGTGTGTTTTTAGTATAAAAGTTTAGCTGTCCCGTAGCAACGCACGAGCACGAACCTATTTACATATATACTCGAACCTATGTGTACATGATTATATGGAGATGCAGTGGAACTTATTCATGGATTTATTGGCGCAGGAAAGAAATGGATATCGTATAATTTTTTCTGCCGATATAAAATATTATCTTAGCCGTATCACGAAAAAGTCTATACAATAGAGTTTGTGAGCCTGCGACGTCGCGCTTTCCGTGACTGTGTTAATTTCACGAACTTTGCTTTTTGAATTAAATGTCACTTTAACGTCGGTATTTAATTTAACAGTATTGTTATCTTATCGTGCGATCCATGTGTTTTTAGTTCAAAAGATTTAGTTGTCCTATAGCAACGCACGGGTACACTACCTAGTACCTTTGTTAAGTCCCAAAAACGATCCATGGAAAAAAAAACAGAAGGGAGCACGCAATTTCCATGCCCATTTTGAAGCTTTCAGTGTTTTTTAATAAAAAATTTAGAAACACTTCCAACAAGAAAAAAAAAATGAAAGAAAACATGCAAATGCAAGTGGACACAGTTCATAGGGCTTTAAAAGAGATATTTTGAAGAAGCAACCTTATCCTTAAGTAAGAAAGCAGAGTAAATTTCAATGGCAAGATTAACAAAGCAAAAGCTTTACATCATTTAGAAATGAGTCAAAAGTATATTCTCGCTATTTATAAAAAGCATTTAAAATCGACATGGACAACGAATCATGAGTTAGACACCACAAAGTCTGGACTAACAATAATGCTAAATAATTTTGCTGAGTCTAATGTAATACTTGACTGTTTGGTACCAGAACTAGAGCGAGATTAAGAGTACCGGGAGATAGAACAACAGAGATTGGTTCAGCCAGACGAAATACTGGCAGACAATTAGAATTCGGTCCGATTAGTTCATACATTGCTTGTCCTCTCCCTCAGACACTCGTCTACATATCTCTTGCTACACCACATAAACACGCCACTTTACACGGGCCGTTCCCATTCCTGTGCCGAGTTCCCCGACGAGGCCCTACTCCAGTTTAATGAGGCACCGGATCTTCAGCAGCAGCGGCGTCAGGAACAGGATCAGTGGTACCTTTGAGATTTTCTACATTGTCAGCCGATCGGCAGGCATCGTCATCTTTATGTATGATTTCAAGCTGGACGTTCTCATCACGTAGGAAGTCCAGGCCACAGCAATCAGAAGATGAGGTATTGTCGAGTTTGCGCATTCCACCTTCATTGTCCTCAGAATCAGAATCATTGTCCTCAGAATCAGAATCACCTAGGAACTTTCAGTGTGGGCAACACAAAAGATTTGAGATCGATGAACTATATATGTTTGCATTGGTCCCACATGAGAAGCTAGTAAAAACCAAGCTACAGTTACCTTGCAGTGCCGCAAAGTGACCTTCTCTAGATTAGGCGAACCCCGATGAAAGAATCGCAACATGCGGAAGTCATCGTTGAGCAGTCTGTTCGTTTGGTCGTATTTGGTTTATAAGCCATGGCTTATCAGCCAACGAAAAGTATTTTTCTTTCACACTATACTAGCCAACAGTATTTTCAGTCATGACTTATAAGCCAAACAAGCCCAAACGAACAGGACGGAGATCACAGTCGCCCAGCAGCAAGTACCTCAAGTTCTGGAATTCCAGGAATGTGGGTTCCTTACCGAGCACCTGGAGCACATTGGAAGTAGATAGCACCAGAACATTATCAGAGTGACGAACAAATAAAATGGAACACTTGCAGAGAAAGCGAACAGCGTACCCTCATCCCGACACCTGATAACTCCAAACTTGTCACATTAGACAGACTACAAAGAAGCTTGGATTGATCCCCGCAAAGTTTACTTCCACATATGCTTTTGGATAAACCGTATTTGCGTGGCTGCGTAAATGAATCGAAGCCCTATCAAGGGATGTCATCTTGTTTACGGAAATACCTCCACGGAAGCGGTCAGCATCCACATCTAGGCATAGATAGGCAACCATGGGGGCCGAGATAGCCAACGGGTTGCAATATCCATTGGAGCCTCCAATGATAACCAAGGTCTTCAATGTGGGGATGCAATGTCAGAGAGGAATCCACCCCATGTACAACGTTTCAGAACCAGGTTCTTGAGGGAGTCAGAGGCGATAGAATGAATCTCACAGGTGCAATGGTCCAGCTCCAAATCCTCCAAAGAGCGGCACACTGAGCTAAGATGCTCCGCGAAACGATCGTCCAGAGGTACGTGGCAGAGATACAGCCTTCTGAGGCGCCAAGAACTGGGGCTCAGATTCAATCCCTGACGCTGACTGATGGCATGACCTGATCCTGGCGTGCAGTATTTCATCGCGCGACGGAGCCAAGCCGCTGCTTGTCGGCCGCTGTATTCCCAACCTTGTGTTGCACTGCTGGAGCAACCATAGGACTGAGGTTTCCTGCCCCTATCAATGTCCAGCCTGAATGAATCCAGCAGCGCGATGTTACAACGGAGCATGAGGTTGACGGCGAAATCCTCGAATTCGTCCCACCCTTTGCCCTTGTCCTCGTTGTTGCCGGAGCCGGGGTCGGTGCTCTCATCATCATCATCAGAGTAATAGCTGCTGTTTCTGCCGCCACTGCTGGAGGCATGCACTGCCGCCTTGGTCCTGAACTCAACGATGTCGACATCGAGGCACGGCACGGAGCGCCAGAGGTGCCTCCAGCGTGTGGACAGCACGCACGTCTGCACCATCTGTCGGGCCATCTGTCGGGCCTTGAGGGAGGACAAGATGATGTGGAGAAGGCAGTCAGGTAGATCGCTCAGCCGGTCCAGGCTGCCGGCCGAGCTTCCGTCGCCACCGCTTACACGGGTCCGTTTCCTTGTGCCCTCTGCAAGCTTCATGGAGTACGTGTCCTCTGTCCTGCAAGCTCCATGTACATATACTATACTTATAAGACGACCGAACGACCAAATTAGAAAAAATATATAAATCTCTATACTTCCATGTATTACCAAAAGAGTCCGGTTCGATTACAACTTAGAACACCTCAGAGTCCGGTTCGATTACACACAGAAATTGTCTGAACAATAAGGAATTTGCGAAAAAAGACACAAAAATAAGTTTTCTTCTTAAAGAAAAAAGATTGTTGGGGGTACAGTACAGCGGAATCCCCATTTCCAATTTACTCAAGAAGGCACGAAATTCGATCCGATTAAGGGACGGCGTGTGCAGCTAAATCCGGAGATACGGCCATGCCCCCCCATGCTAAATCCGAATTAGAGATGAACAATCCTATACGAAGATTCCTATTCCTTCACAGCAATCGATTACGGGCGGGTGGGTCGTAGGGAAGCGGCGGCGCAGAGATGGGTGGTCCGGGGAAGGGGCTTACCGAGCGCCCGCGCCATAGGGCTTGCTCGCCTATCTTATAATCCGTCTTTTTCAGTTTGTTTTTTTAGTCGAAATAGTGTTTTTCTCTCCCAACAAATTAGCTGAAACAGTATTTCGGTTTATTTTTTCAGCGAAACGAACGTGGCCATAGTAGTAGACGAGCTGCCGAAACCCTCGCCTTGGTCGGCGTCGATGACGAGTCGGCGACGGCAAGTGGGGAAAAGAGGAGGAATGGGGTCGGCGAACTGGCCACACAGCGGCCCCCGCTAGGAGTTGGAGGCCCATTTCTCCACAGCAAGGTTTCTCGAGGCCCATTTCGGCCAGGGCTGTGACGATTTTTTATTATTTTAACCTCAAAACTAAAAAAACTAATATTGTAGTAATAACACAAGACGAATTAAATATGTTTTGGATTATTATTTTTGTCACGTCAAAAGAGACATTACATGACAGATGAATACACTGAGCTGGCTGCACGTTTTGGCATGGCTGCGGCTGCTTTAGCTGATGGTGCACCGTTATTAACTTTGCTCTATGGTGTGTTTGGTTTGCGTTTTAGACCTAGCCTGGCTAGCCCACTAAGCTACGATAACACAAGTTTGGCTCTCCCAATGTATGAAACTGTTATTTGGTTTACTTGTCTTATCTAAGCCTGGCTTACCCAGATCGTATTTGGTCGCCTCGTTAGCTTGAATACAGTCACCTCATCCTTATTCAGGTAAGGTTACCTCATAGAGGCATTATGTCGAGCGGTTTGTGAGCATTAGTACCGTGAGAACTCCTCCAGAGTCCAGATGGATGGCGAGGTCATGCTCCCCTCCAGGATTGAGGTCGCCGTCACCGTGTTGTGGCTCAGTCGAGGTTGTTGTTCCCTCGCTGACGAGTGCACTGACGCTGCGGGCGTGGACGCGGACATGCCACCACGGGCTACACACTCTAGTGATGTTGCCTCGCGCTATAGTGCTGCCTGCCGGAGACGCCGCCGCCGCGACGCATGCCGCTGGGCACGCCCTGCAGTGCTCCTCCTCCGACCCCTCACCATGGCCAGGGCTACGGCGCCTCTGCTGGCATTGCAAGGTCGCGCGAGGCCACGCCGGCAATGGCAGGGATAGGCGCGAGCCCATGTCGACGAAGGGTGGCGTGAGCCTACGCCGCTGGCGGCGGGGAGCAGCGCAACAGTGAAGGGGAGGTGACGTAATTCACCCCTGCTGCTTTGACTAGCCTGGCTACGGGAGAACGAGCACCCTCTACGTTTCCACTAAGCCTGGCTAAGAGCATCTCCAGCAGCCCCCAAATTCCCGTCCCTAATGAGAAAAACATGTATTTTGAGGGATTTGAGAGCTCCATCAGATTCCCATTCTAGACCCCAATGAAAAAAAAAATTCTCAGTCCCTCAAAATCCATCCTCCAACCCCCTCAAAGATTAGGGAAACCTCCCTTCCCCAATACCTGAGATTTTTGGCGCTAGCTCCAACTGCAAGTTCCTTCCCGCCTCCGGTGAGCTATCGTTGCTCCCGGTGGCCTCCAGTCGCGCCGTAGACGACGGGGGTGCTCCAGCTCGCGTCGGGGATGGTGGGGGTGCTCCAGCTCGTGTCGGGGATGGTGGAGGTGCTGCTCGAGTCGATGGGGGGTGGAAGTACTCTAAACTCGTGCCGGTGGAGGTGGAAGTTGCCATGGTCACGCCAGTTGGATCTGCCAGGCCCAATGGGAGGAAGGGCAGTGCTGAGCGCAGGTCGCCGCGTGCCGCCAGGCCCAAGGCCGCCGGATCCTCCTCCATTGCGGCGGGGCGTGGGAGCGAATGGATGGGGGGCGTCGGGGGAGAGAAAGAAGCGGCGGGTTCTCTCGGTGCAGAGAGAACGAGGCGGCGGCGAGGAAGAGAGTCGCGGTGGGAGAAGAACCGATCGGGAAAAAATATGTTTTTGGCTGATAAGTGGGACCCATCTGTATTGGGGTTGTGTTTTTTTATCTGCAACACCTCCCCCAATACTCTAAAAAGTAGTATTGGGCCATCCCCATTATCAACTTATTGGGGGAGATGAATTAGGAGACTGCTAGAGATGCTCTAAGGGGCTCTCTCTGCACCAGCTAAGCCTACCTACGGATACCGAACATGCAAAGTGTTGCACAATGTTGTAAAGAGCACAGCCAAGCAAGCATGCCATCTTACTTGTGCGACCGATAAAATGAGTTGTTGTCTTGCTAGGTCTGACATTTAAGCACTTTTTACTGTCAATCCCAAACAAAGAACCTAGATACCATAAAATTTTAATCTTTTCAACGAAGCATAACCTATTTTACTTGGATCTGGTGTCATATTCATCATTTTTAGAATTATTAAAATTTCTCTCGAAATGCTATAACTGTCTGTTCAAGTAAGCTGTTTTTTTCCTTGTCGATCCAAATGTTTAAAATGAAGCATGGCCCCCTTTTTATCACTACGATAGACCAAAACTCCATCACCTAAGCTATTTTTCCTTATGGATCCAAATCTACCCTAGTAACAAAGCACCATTGTTACATTGTTAAATCTACACATAAAACCTCCCCCGCTGAGATGGTGCTCCATCCACTTACTCCAAAAATGTATCTAAAAAAACAACAACATTGAAATGAACCGTCCAAATGTCTTCTTAGTACTCTCTCTCCTTACTCAAATCTAACAGATCATCTGTATCATCCTCCTTGGTCCCTACCACCAACCACGCATAAGGAACCTCAGTCCAACATGCACGCAACGCCTCAACTCCCACCGGGCTTCATGTCGCCTCTTCTCTCGCACGCGATCCTCTCCCCCACGCGGCGCGGCTCCTCCTCTCCCCATGCCGCCTAGCCACCAGGGAGCCAGCCGCGACGCCGCGCCTAGCGTCGCCCGCCATACCCTTCGAACTACGCTGCCCCTCTATCCCCTCCATCCCCATCCGTGCGCGACGAGGAGGCGTGTGAGGAGCACGATGGCGACAGCAAGGGCGAAAGCGTGGAAGGCAAGGAGCCAGCCCAGGTGGAGGTGGCCTTGTGACACGCTCCCACCCCTCATTTTCCTATCCTAATCTCCGTTTCCTGTTAACCAAACACCACCTCACAAGAATCGATTACGGATGGGTCATACGGGAAGCGATGGTGTAGAGATGGGTGGTCCAGGGAAGGGGCTTACCGATCGAGCGCCCGCTCCATAGTCATAGCCTACAGCCTGCCGAGGGAGGAGAGGTTCCAATCCAACCCGAAGCACGGCGAGGAAACCCTCTTCTCCATCGGCATCGGCGGCAAGTGGGGAAAAGAGGAGGAATGGGGATTGGCGAACTGGGCACCAGTAAAATACACATGTACACAAACAGAGCATTTTTATGCCAAATCAAAAACTTAAAACCGGATGGACATGTCCTAACCAACTAAGCTACACTCAATTTTCGTGTGCAGTGCACGTTAACAATGTAAAAATGTACACGTGCTTAGATTGGCATGTAAAAGTGTATATACCCCGTGACCGTGACAATGTGAAATTTTGTGCATGCTGCTTCTTTTTTTTTTCTTTCTTTCTATGAAGCCGATGCGTGCTCAACCAGGTCATCGTATGCTTCACGTGCGTCGGTATTTCCTTCCAGATAACCGACGCAGAGAACGAAACAAGAATGAACCACAAATAATTAAACGATCGGAGCTGGTGTTTAGTCTTTGAAAGTATATATATGTACCTTTGTTAAGTCCCAAAAAGGATCCAAGGAAAAAAACGAAGGGAGCACGCAATTTCCATGTCCATTTAGAAGCTTTCAATGTTTTTTTTAATAAATTAGAAACACTTCCAACAAGGAAAAAAAATGAAAGAAAACATGCAAATGCAAGTGGACACAGTTCATATAGTAGGGCTTTAAAAGAGATATTGAAGCAATCTTATCCTTAAGGAAGAAAGCAGAGAAAATTGCAATGGCAAGATTAACAAAGCAAAGGCTTACATCATTTAGAAACGAGTCAAAAGTATATGCTCGCTACTTATAAAATGCATTTAAAATTGACATGAACGACAGACCACGAGTGAGATACCAAAAAGTCTAGACTAACAATAACGCTAATCAAATTTGGTGAGTCTCATGTAATCCTTGAGTGTTTGGTACCAGAATTAGAGCGAGACTAAGAGTAGCGGAAGGTAGAAGAACAGAGATGGGTTCAGCCAGACGAGGAATACTGGCAGATTCAATTAGAATTCAGTGGTCTGATTAGTTCATAATTTCTTCTCCTCTCCCTCAGACACTCGTCTATATCTCTCTTGCTGCACAACATAAACAAGCCACTTTACATGGCTCATTCCCATTCTGGTCCTGAGATGCGCACGCTGGTCCTCCTGCGCCGAGTTCCCCGACGAGGCCCAACTCCAGTTGAATGAGGCATCGAATCTTCAGTAGCAGCAGCAGCGTCAGGAACAGCATCAGTTGTACCTTTGAGATTTGGTAAGTCACGCACAAGCTCGTCAACAGATCGACAGGCATCATCATCTTTATGTATGATTTCAAGCTCGACGTTCTCATCACGTAGGAAGTCCAGGCCACAGCAGCAACCAGAAGATGAGGTCTTGTCCAGTTTGCGCGTTCCTTCCTTGTCCTCAGAATCACCTGGGAACTGTATGTAGGCAAGGAACACGAAAGATGTGAGATGAATGATGAACTATGTTGCATTGGTTGGTTACATAAGGAGCTAGAAACCAAGCTAGTGTACCTTGCAGTGCCGCAAAGTGACCTTCTCTAGATTAGGTGAACCCCGATGAAAGAACCGCAATACGCGGAAGTCATCACTGAGATCACAGTCGCCCAGCAGCAAGTTCCTCAGGTTCTGGAATTCCAGGAATTTCATCGCGCGACGGAGCCACGCCGTTGCTTGTCAGCCGCTGTATTCCCAGCCTTGTGTTGCACTGCCAGACCAATTATAGGACTGAGGTTTCCTGCCCCTGTCAATGTCTAGCCTGAAGGAATCCAGCAGCGCGATGTTACAACGGAGCATGAGGTTGACAGCGAAATCCTCGAATTCATCCCACCCTTTTGCCCTGTCCTGGTTGTTGCCCGAGCCGGAGTCGGTGCTGTCATCATCATCAGAGTAATAGCTGCTGTCGCTGCCACCACTGCTGGAGGCATGCGCCGCCGCCTTGGTCCTGAACTCAACGATGTCGACGTCGAGGCACGGCACGGAGCGCCAGAGATGCCTCCAGCGTGTGGATACTGTTGGAACCGGTGGTGACCACCGAGTTCTCGTTCTTGGAGCTGATTTGTAGCCGGCCCGGCTCGTTAAGAACCTGCGCTCTCACAGGTCACAGGTCCACCGGAGTTAACGACATATGAAGCCCATAGGCCTTACTTAAGGTAAAAGACTGATGTCGACGTCGAGGCATGGCACGGAGTGCCAGAGGTGCCTCCAGCTTGTGGACAGTGTTCGAACCAGTGGTGATGAGCACCAGAGGTGCCTCCCCCACAGGTCCTAGGTCCATCCGAGCTAACAACATATGAGGCCCATAGGGCTTACTCAACTTAAAAGACTAGCTTAATAGGTTGGACTGTCCTCTACCTTATATGTTGTGCTCCCCAACTATCGATATCCGACGTGGGACTAACCCCAACAGTCAGCACGCACGTCTGCACCATCTGTCGGGCCTTGAGGGAGGACATGATGATGTGGAGGAGGCAGTCCGGTAGAGCGCTCAGCCGGTCTGGGCCACCGGCCGAGCTTCCACCGCCGCCGCCACAGCTTGCACGGGTCCTTTTCCTTGATCCCTCTGCAAGCTCCATGGAGTATGTGTCCTGCAAGCTCCATGTATATACTATATTTATAAGATCACCAAACGGCAAAAAAAAAATCTCTAATACCAATTATTACCAAAGGACACCTCTGAAACCTGTTCGACTACAACTTAGAACAGCTCAGAGTCCGGTTCGATTACACCTCAGAATCCGGCTCTAATTCACACAGAAATTTTCTGAACAATAAGAAATGCGAAAAAGACACAAAAATATTATTTTTAAAAAAAAGTTTGGTTGGGGTACAGTACAGCGGAATCCCCATTTCCAATTTTTATACACAAGAACGCACGAAATCCGATCCGATTAAGAGACGGGATGTGCAGCTAAATCGGGAGGCAACGCAAGATCTGGAGATACGATCATGGCCCCATGCACTTCCGTATTAGAGATCAACAATCCTACGCAGATTCCTATTCCTTCACAGCAATCGATTACGGACGGGTAACGGGGAGCGATGGTGCAGAGATGGGTGGTCCGAGGAAGGGGCTTACCGAGCGCCCGCACCATAGCCTCCAGCCAGCCGCCGGAGGAGAGGCTCCAATCCAACCGGAAGCTCTGGAGATAGCGGGAGACGAGCTGCCGACACCCTCGTCTCCGTCGGCGTCGAACGGCGACGGCTAGTGGGCAAAAGAGGAGGAATGGGAGTCGAGCAAGATTTCTCCGAGGCCCCTGAATCCCTGATTAACAAGGCGCTTTGTTTGATCTCCTTAACTACTGTCTAAATGTTGCTAAAAAAAACTACCGTCTAAATTCAATTTACCTGAATGTAAACTAGAGTTTATAAAAATTGTAGAAATAGTTTTTCACTTCTTCTATATTTTAGGTGCCATCTCCTGCTCGATCTGGAGGGGGACGGCGACGACTTTAGAGCTAACGCTGAGCAACAAGGGAGGAGAACTAGAGGAGCGGAGGGAAGCAGAGCAGTGCATCTGGAGAGGGGTGAGCGAAGCAGAGGGGGGAACGAGAGAGAGGAGAGCGATGGCGTTTGCGCGAATCGGGAGATTTGGGAACGAGAGAGAGGGGAGCCACCACCACGCCAGGACAGGACTCAGGAGGGGAGGGGCATGGGCTGCCTGGTGGGCTGGGCCGTCCATTTGTTATTCCTTTTTTTTATTTTTTTCTTTTCTTTTTTCTTCATCAACTACTGCTCTAAGCTGATACTTTACGTTTTGCTTAAATTCTTAAGGCGTTGCCTCGCCTCACGCTTTAGTCGCCTAAGCGTAAGGCGGTAGTCCGTCGCCATGCCTCGCTTTACCACATTAAAAACACTGCTTGTACTACCAATTAATACGGGTAAATTGTCACTTTTGAGATTTGTTATTTGTCTTTGTATCATAACATATCAAAATTTTGTCCTTGTCTAACAATAGTGTCGGTGTAGAAAATGACCAACACATAAATATTTGTAGTTTCGCTGTACGTTGTGATCGGATGTGGCCTAGCACTTAATGACACATGATTTATACTGGTTCAGGCAACGTACCCTACGTCCAGTTTGAGTCAGTCGGTGACTTTATTCCTGAGTCCAGGTGCTCAAAGTTTGTAGTGGGGTTACAAACGTGAAGGAGAAAGATGGGCGGTACAAGAGGTCCAGTCAGACTCTGGTCTGAAGGGCCAAAAGTGACAGGAGCTCCGCTATATGCTAAGTGTTCGAGCGTGTGCTCTGTGTAGCTTTTGAGTGTCAAAAGTTAGCAGGTGATGAATCAATGTAAGTGAACTGATATTTTTCTGTTGGGAGAGAGCACATCTCCTTTTATAGACGAATGGGACGGCCTTACAAGAGAAAGAGAGAGAGAGAGTGTGTGTGTACGTATGCTAAGTCTTGTTGCCCATGCCGTCGGGTACAAGATGATTGTAGGCGTCCATAACACTATTTGTGTTAGATGTATGTGGGAGGTTGCGTCGTCTTCTTCTGGTATGACAGACGTCGATGCCTGCCATACTGTTGATGCCCAGAGGCATGCAAGGGTTTTACCGTGCTCGCCTGGTGGGGTAAATGCCGGCGCCCACAACACTGTTGATGCCCATAGGCATGTGGGGAGCCTTACCGTGTTTGTCTGGTATGGGAGTTGATGCCGCCCACAACACTGTAGGGCAAATGTCGACGCTCACAACACTGCTTGGGTTCTGACATACCAAGAAGGGTGCAGGGTACCCTTCTGACATGTCCTGTTGGTACTGTCCTGCAGGTGTACAGGTACGGTCCTCGGTATTGCGGTTTGACTTTGAGTGCCCTACCTTACTCTCTCTGTCCGCTTCCTAGTCCTCACCGAGCGAGCGTCCCCGGTCGGTTGGTCCCAGTCGGCTCTGATCACGCTAGTCGGAGAAGAACTATAAGCAGGGGTTTGGCGCATCCCCGGTCAGAGACGCGGGTCGGAGTCGGAAGTGGTGTTTGGCTAGGCCTTCCGGTTGGAGAGGCATGCCAGAGTCGGAAGCGGGTGTCGTTCCTCCTCGGCCAGGCCTTCGGGTCGGAGATTGGATCGCCCTTCTGGCCTATGTTTAGGAATTTGGGCCGGCCTACGAGTTGTGCGTTGTTCGCAACGTCGTCTGCTGGGCTGAGCTTTTGCTGGTGAAGCCGGTCCATGAGGGACCCCGGGTTTATAAACCCGACAGGAGCCCTCGAACGATTTGGGTAGAATCGTCTGGGGGATTTTTCATCTTGACGGCGGGTGCACTCGAGCGCACCTGTGGGTGTAGCCCCCGAGCCCCTGGACAATTCGGGTAGCTCGCGGATCCTGGCGTCGGGCACTGCCGAGGGATCGGGCGAGGCAGACTCGTGGACCCATCATGCGCAGCCGAGGCAGTTTAGGGATGGGATGAGAGGAGCTCATGGATCTTAGCGTCGGGCGCTGCCGAGGGATCGGGCGAGGCGGACTCGCGGACCCGTCGTGCGCAGTCGAGGCAGTTTAGGGATCGGGCGAGAGGAGCTCACGGATCCTGGGGTCGGGCGCTACTGAGGGATCGGGTGAGGCGGGCTCGCGGACCCATCGTGCGCAGCCGACGCAGTTTATGGATCAAGCGAGAGGAGCTCGCGGATCCTAGCGTCGAGCGCTACCGAGGGATCGGGCAAGCCGGACTCACGGACCCGTCGTGCGCAGCCGATGTAGTTTAGGGATCGGGCGAGAGGAGCTCGCGGATCCTTGTGTCGAGCGCTACCAAGGGATCAGGCAAGGCAGACTCGCAGACCCGTGGTGCGCAGCCGAGGCAGTTTAGGCATCAGGCGAGAGGAGCTCATGGATCCTGGTGTCGGGCGCTGCCGAGGGATCGGGCGAGGCGGACTCACGGACCCGTCGTGCATAGCCGAGGAAGTTTAGGGATCGGGCGAGAGGAGCTCATGGATCCTGGCGTCGGACACTGCCGAGGGATTAGGCGAGGCAGACTCGCGGACCCATCGTGCGTAGCCCAGGCAGTTTAGGGATCGGGCGAGAGGAGCTCGTGGATCCTGGCATCGGGCTCTGTCGAGGGATCGGGCAAGGCAGACTCACGGACCCGTCATGCGCAGCCGAGGCAGTTTAGGGATCGGGTGAGAGGAGCTTGTGGATCCTGGCATCGGGCACGCTGGGAGATCAGGGGAGTCGGAGTCACCGATCTAGGCGTCGGGCGCACACTAGGGGATCGGGTGAGTCAGAGTCACGGAGCTAGACGCAGCTGAGGCATTTGGGTATCTTGAGCCCCTGAGCCCCGTTGGGCTTGGTAGGGGTCGGTTGAGTTTTGAGCATTACCCTATCCATGGTTTCTCGCAACCGGAGGGGCTGAGCTAACTTAACTTGCCTCGATGGCTCGAGTGACGCGCTTGGTGAGCTCGCTAACGGGCATTTTCAAGTGAAGTCT